AAATATTGTAGATGGTATGTTGTATGTATATATGGCATATGGTACAAATGTGTATGTATGAATGTGCACAGATATACATATATATGACATATTTTTACTTACCTATATGTGTACAAATGGTTTCCTTTGGCAGAATCTAAGCTCCTTTAGGCACAAATTGGTTCATTTGGTCGTTTCTATCTCTAGTCTTTAGTACAGGTCATTTAAAGTAGTAGATACTTACTAAATCCTTGTAGGCTAATTAATAAAATCATGAATATATGTGTCCCCATGAGTTAAAATTGACCTGTATCTCCAGTGAAGCTCTACTCTAGTACCTTATAGTGACAGGGTAGATCTCAAAGTCTTTGCCATTTGAGTTCAGACTCTTCTAGGTCATAGAAATCTGGAAAGGCTTTGCATAGGACTCCAGTGATGGACTTTGTGTCCATTATCCAAAGACCAGCCTAACCATTTTTTCAGAGGAAAAAAATCAAAGCCATCAATAGTCATAAGAAAAAAAATTGCTCTAAATCACTAATAATTAGAAAAAGGCAAGTTAAAACAACTCTGAGGGACCACCTTGCACCCATCAGATGAGCTAAGATGACAGGAAAGGAAAATAACAAATGCTGGAGGAGTTCTGGGAAAATGACAGGGGAATGCACTGTTAGTAGAGCTGTGAACTAGTCCAAACATTCTAGAGAACGATTTGAACTATGCCCAAAGAGCTACAAAGCTATGAATACCCTTTGGCCCAGCAGTACTGCTACTAGGTCTGTAATCCAAGAAGATCAAAGGAAAAGGAAGAGGATTCACATGTACAAAAATATTTATAGCAGCTCTTTTTGTGGTGGCAAAGAATTGGACACTGAGGGAATGCCCATCAATTGGGTAATGGCTGAACAAGTTACAATATATGAATGTGATGAAATACTATTGTGCCATAAGAAGTGATAAAGGGGATGGTTTCAGAAAAACCTGGGAAGATTCACATGAACCGATGCTAAGTGAAGTGAGCAAAACCAGAAGAATTCCCTACACAGTAATAGTAATGTTGTGAAAAATAATCAACTGTGAAAGACTTAGTAACTCTTGAAAACTAATGAAATGCGGGAAAGGGGAAAGACAGAAAGAGGAAGGAGTCAAAGAAAGCTCTGCCCAAGAATTTTTATATTGTGAGTTACCTATTACTGAACTACTTCCTATCCTCCATTCCTACCCACACATCCATCTCTTATCTCTTCATCTTTACACTGACTATTCTCCCCTGGCTTGACCATAAATACCTGGAGCGTTGATCCAGAGCAGTTCCAAAGGACCAATTACGTAAAATGCTATCTACCTCCTAGTAGAAACTGATGGACTCAAAAGGAAATAGGTTTTGCATGACTTCATATGTGTAATAGGTGTCGAATTTTTTGCCTTCTCCATGGTTGGGGGGTGGGTGGCTGTGGCAGCAGAAAGATCATTTGAAAATGAAAATGAAAATAAAATTTTAAAAAATTCTAAGAGGGGGCAGAGCCAAGATGGTGGAGGGAAAGCAGTGACTTGCTAGAGCTCTCCCCCAAACCCCTCCAAATACCTACAAAAAATGGCTCTAAACAAATTCTAAAGCAGGAGAACTCACAAAAAAACAGAGTAAAACAAATTTCCAGCCCAAGACAACCTGGATGGCTGATCAGAAAGGTACATCGCACCGGGCTGGAAGAGGAGTGCAGTTTGGCGTGGACGGGCAGGCCGCAGAGACCCTGGAGCAGGCCTCAGAGGACTGAATCACGGGCAGCTGTGGCGGTTTCCAGACTGCTCAACCCAGGAATGCCAAAGGCAACTTAGAAGGTCAATGGGAAAAGTCTGTGACTGCAGTGAGAGAGGAGCTAGGTCTCAGCCACAAGTCTAGAGTACGGGCCGCGGCTGCCTCCTGAGCTTCTGGCCCACAGACTGAGGGAGAATCAAGTGGCTTATCAGAGGGGGACTGCAAGGATCTCTTTCCCAGGGCTGAGGCAGGAATCTCTTGCTATGCCCTTGCTTGGATCTGGGTCACAGTTCTGAGGGGCAGTCCTGGGGCGAGGAGAAGCACTGGTGTGGTGGAGCATGTTGTGGCGGTGGAGAGGAAACACCTCACCCCTTGTCATACCACCTTGGAAGAACTGACACTTTTCAGGTCCCTAAAAGTATCTCTGAAAACAGCTGTATAAACACCCGAAGCTTGGGATGGTACATTCTCCACATTGGAAACAGACTCTTACCTTAACAAAGAGTTTAAAACTCAAGTAATTGGATGAGATCATGAGCAAGCAGTGCAAAAAAAGTCAGACGATATCATCTTACTTTGGTGACAAAGAAGATCAAAACATAAAACCAGAAGAAGAAAACAAAATCAAAGCTCCTACATCCAAAACTTTCAAGAAAAATATGAATCAGTCCCAGGCCTTGGAAGAGCTCAAAAGGGATTTTGAGAAGCAAGTAAGAGAAGTAGAGGAAAAACTGGGAAGAGAAATGAGAGTGATGCAAGAAAATCATGAAAAGCAAGTTAACAGCTTGCTAAAGGAGACCCCAAAAAAAATACTGAAGAAAATAACACCTTAAAAAAATAGCTTAACCCAAATGGCAAAAGAGGTCCAAAAAGCCAATGAAGAGAAGAATGCCCTAAAGAGCAAAATTGGACAAATGGAAAAGGAAGTCCAAAAGATTACTGAAGAAAATACTTCCTTAAAAATTAGAATAGAGCAATTGGAAGCTAGTGACTTTATGAGAAATCAAGAAAATGTAAAACAAATACAAAAGAATGAAAAATTAGAAAACAATGTGAAATATATCATTGGAAAAACAGCTGACCTGGAAAATAGATCCAGGAGAGAAAATTTAAAAATTATTGGACTATCTGAAAGCCACAATCAAAAAAAGAGCCTAGACTTCATCTCTCAAGAAATGATCAAGGAAAACTGCCCTGATATTTTAGGACCAGAGGGCAAAATAGAAATTGAAAGAATCCACTGATCTCCTTCTGAAAGAGATCACCAAAGGAAAACTCCTAGGAATATTGTAGCCAAATTCCAGAGTTCACAGATCAAGGAGAAAATATTACAAGCAGCCAGAAAGAAACAATTCAAGTATTGTGGAAACACAATCAGGATAACACAAGGTTTAGCAGTTTCTACATTAAGGGACCGCAGGGCATGGAATGTAATATTCCAGAGGGCAAAGGAGATAGGATTACAACCAAGAATCATGTACCCAGCAAAACCGAGTATAATTCTTCAGGGGAAAAAATGGTCATTCAGTGAAATAGAGGACTTTCAAGCATTCTTGATGAAAAGACCAGAGCTGAATAGAAAATTTGACTTTCCAATACAAGACTCAAGTGGAACATGAAGAGGTAAACAGGAAAGAAAAATCATAAGAGACTTATTAAGGTTGAACTGCTTACATTCCTGCATGGAAAGATGATATTTGTAACTCATGAGACCTTTGTCAGTATTAGGGTAGTTGGAGGGAAAAAAATTATATGTATGTATATATAAATAGATAGATGGTTGGATAGATAGATAGATGGATAGATAGATACATAGAGGGCACAGGGTGAGTTGAAGATGAAGGGGTGATATCTGGATAATAAAATTAAGGGGTGAGAGAGGATTATCCTAGGAGAAAGAGAAAGGGAAAGGTAGAACAGGGTAAATTATCTCACAAAAAAAAACAGAAAAGAAAAGACTCTTACAGTGGAGGGGAAATGGGGGAAGGTGAGAGGGAATGAGTGAATCTTATGCTCATAGGATTTGACTTGAGGAGGGAATAACACACACACCCAATTGGGTATGGAAATCTGTCTTATCCTACAGGAAAATAGGAGAGGAAGGGGACAAGAGAGTAGGGGGATGATAGAGAGGAGGGCAGATTGGGAAAGGGGGTAATCAGAAGCAAATACTTCTGGGGAGGGACAGGGTCCAAAGAAAGAATAGAATAAATGGGGGGGTGGGATAGGATTAAGGGAAATAGAGTTAGTTTTTTACCACATGTCTACTATGGAAGTGTTTTGCATAACTGCACATGTATATCCTATATTGAGTTGCTTGCCTTTTCAATGAGGGTGGGTGGGGAGTGAGGAAGGGAGAAAATTTGGAACCCAAAGTTTTAAAAACACATGTTCAAAAAAAAGTTTTCACATGCAACTGGGAAATAAGAAATACAGGAAATGGGGTACAGAAATCTAGACCTGTCCTACAGGAAAATAGAAAGGGAAGGGGGGAGAGAGATAGCAGGGAAAGCAGACTAGGGGAAGTGTTATTCAGAATGCAGGCCATCTTGGGGTGGGGGGAGGGGTGAGATGGGGTGAAATTTTGGAACTCAAAATCTTGTGGAAGTAAATGTTGAAAACTAAAAATAAAAAAAGTGTTTAAAAAAGAAAAAAAAGAAATATAAAAAAATTTTTAAAAATTTAAAAGACAACCCTAAGTGTGGAGATGCTAACCACAAAGTTTTGACTATTTCCAGCCACAGCAATTCATGAATCCAGTGGACTAATGCGTGGAGTGGTTGTGATCTCATAGGATAAGAACATTATTAGGACTGGAAAGAAGTCTCCAAATGACGTTGGAAACAAATTAGTGTTTCATTTAGTTCAAGCCTTAGATTAGTTTTGTTTCATTTGATGGAACAGTTTTGATCCATTCATGTGATTTTCTTACATAGGAAATTTCTGGTACAGAAATTGTCTTGAGTAATGCAAATCATTGTCTCCTCTGCAACTTGTAGTTTTAGAGAGCTTTTTGGGGCACTAAGAGATAAGGTGAGTTGCCCAGATTTTCAGAGCAAATGCACGGTCAGAGGCAGTATCTGAACCTGAGAATTCTTCACCGTAAGGTTAGCCTGCCATTCACTATGCCCTGTTGTCCCTTGCTCCCTAGTTAATGTAACTCATAACTACTTTTTAAAGTACACTCACAGCAATTTTAAAAATCAACAGTTTTGTTTCCTGTCTACATTTCTTTCTATTCATGTTTTCCATTTGGGCTTTTCAGGTATGAACATGAACAAAAATGAAATACAGAAAGAACAGCCTTTAAAGCCTTCCAGGAGTCAGACTCATCCTCAGAATCTGAGTAAACATTCTTCATTTAATTTCCCAAATCAGATACAACCACAACCTTTAAGTCCAGGACCATCAGCTGCTCATAAAATAGCAGATCATGGTAAGCTACTTATGTTTGGCTTGGGAGAATGAAAGAAAAAGTTCTAGTTAAGGTGATGGTGGGCTCCTGTGAACTATCTTAAGATCACATGTCAACAGTAGTCCTGGGGTCAATTGGAGGTACCATATATTCAGAGGAATATTGAGAATTTTGTACGCTAAAGACTGCTAAAAACCCCACCATGGCCCAGAAGTAAACCTGCATTCTTGAAATTTGGGCCCAGTAGATCCAATGTTCTGTTTGGTTATACAGAGCTAGAAGGTCTCAAAAGATGGGGTCATAAATGAATTGTATGCTTATTCTCTGAGTAACAACCCAACTTAGTATAAATGTGAGCCTTCTAAAAAGACTGGCTATTTTTATCTGTGGCAATTAGTGAAAATTATCCCCTAAAGTGTGAAAGGATTGCTACCTACGTACATGAGTTGATGGAGCACTTACATTGATGAAATTATAGATCCTTGGTGTAGAACAGAGCTTTTTTTTTTTTTTTAAATTATGGATACCTTTGGCAGTCTGATGAAATCTATGGATTCCTTCACAGAATAATGTTGGTTGCCTATGTCCATAAGTGATGGAAATGTTAATTTTAAGTTAGAGGTTAGTGAACATAAAGATGTCATTCTAACTTCACTTTATGTTCTATTTGTGGGCCTCTTGGAGAGCTGGACTCCAAGTTAAATGCCCCTGATGTAGTATGTTCAGGGGAAGGTGACCAGAGCAGTAAAAGGCTTAAAAGGTATGACAGATATTTGAAAGATTTTTGGGTGAAAGAGCCCTGGTAAACTTTCATTTTAAAGGGAAGTTACATGTGGACAGAGTGTGGTTCAACATGGCATTATAAGGTATTGCTGATGGAAAAGACCCTAAAAGCAATCTAATCCAACTCCCTTGAAAAGCTCAAGTGACTTATAATTCCCACTTAATTATCTTAGAATTCTCACGGTATTAAGTATCAGAACTGAGCTTCAAACTGAGATCCCCTAACTTGTCTCCTTTCTTTCTATTGTCATATAGCATAAGGGAGTTCTTTCTTACAACTGGGGACTTCAACAAGGGAAGGTACCATGTTAAGGAAATAATGATTCCTGTAATTAAGTGGATTAAGAGTCTGAATGACTCCTCAACATTAGTTCTAAAGAACAGACTAAATAACCTGCTAAATCCCTCCCAACTCTATGATTCTGTGGTGATTATTTAGTCATTTTCTCAGCTCTTATTTAGTATTCCTTTGCAATGTTTAATATATGTGGAATATACCGATACATAGCTATTGATAAGAATATGTACTCTCAGTATGGTAGAATAGCATAATACATATAGCATCTCCCCTCTGGTCCTCCACTTTTCCAATTTCATCCTATTGGGTTTTTTAGGGCAGAGATTGTTTTTGCTTATTCTTTGTATCTTGAGCACACAGCACATTGTATGAAAATATTTACTAAACATTTGTTAATTGATTAATACAAATTGGTTGCCCTTATAGCATATACAGAACTAGCTTTGGAATCAGGCAGGCCCAGAGTCAAGTCTCCTATCTTACACATAAATGCTGGTTTTATGATCCTGAGTAAGTCATTTACCTCCTCATTTACCTACCCTTTAAGATTCTAAGTTAAGAGTAAGCACATTTACATTCATATAAGGAGTTTTCCTCACTGAGAGTTCCCTATGCCAGTGAAATCACAGTTCTATTTTTTTTTAAATAGGAGGAATTTAACCCTTATTAGACTTCTTTAAAGACCAGCAAGGCTGAGACTGAAAATGCAGGTGTGCCATCATTGTTAGTACCAGTTATCTCTGACCATAGCTCCATGCCTCTCTCCCAGTGAGAGTCAATTCCAGGTTAGAATATCTTCTGGAATTGTGTGCTTAAGTATTTAGTGGGAGTTTGGTGAGTGGGGAATAATACAGGAAGCAAATTCAAATTGCAGATCTGGGTGCCTAACAGGACACTCCTCCTTTGACCACTTCTGGCAAATCACATTTGGCTCATGAGTACCACACAGAAATGTTGGCCTGCAAGTGGATTTTTAGTATCACAAGTGTGGTTGTTCCACTACATGGCCCTCCCTGCCATCCATCCTCACCTTGTAGGCTCCAACACTCATCTCCTCCTCTAGTTGGGAAGCGGCATGTGCTAAGAGACAGCCCCCACTGCAGAGTCGGAGTTGGCAGCTATGTCAGACTGAGAGATTGAGAGTTTAGTCTAGCAAATGAGCCAGTGGGCTGATTCTGAGGACAATAATGAGTTGGTGAATAGGGTAGCTGAGAACCATTACATTCTAGCTTAATTTAGGACACTTCTCTCCCCATAAGTGAAACCATCAATAGCTGATTATGGTAAAACTATTTTAGTATAACATGCAACCCTCCTTCTGTTATTGATCATTTAATTCTTAGTAATTTGCTTTGATGGAAGCTCTGCAAAAATCATTCCTATCATCTCCATTATTAGAGTAGTAGCTATAATGACTCAAACCTTCTTTATTTTTTTGTGCATAAGTATGAGTACATGTTGATTTCCCCTAATAAAATGTAAACCTCTGCTCTATCAACTCTTATACCTCCCTAATGCCTCCACATTAATTATTTACTCCTTTGTTTAGCTCCAGCTCTATAAAGGCTATGTGCCATCTTTCCAGCTTCACTGGTCATTATTCTCACTCTTGCACTCTGATCCAGCCAAACTGACTTTCTCTCTACTCCTCACATACAACAGTCTAACAACCATCTTTGCACATTTACCCTGGCCATTCTCCAAAGCTATGCTGGGCTCCCTCCTCCCCTCGGCTCTGTAGACTCCCCCTCTTCCTTCAAGATGCAGCCTAAGCATTGATTTATATGTGCAGTCTTTCCTGATCCCTCCAATAGCTAATTCCCCCCATCCCAAACTACTGTGGTCTTATTTGTACGTATTTTCTTTATATTCATTCTCTACATATTTACATGTATGTGCTTTCTGTCTTCTCCGTTAGAATGTAAGGAGCTTCTCGCCCGTAGTGACCGTTTCATTTGTATGTTACTGTTTGTATGTTTTCTTCCTCCTTAGACTGTCTTTGTTTCCTTGTACACTCAGCATTTAGCACAGTGCCTGGCACACAGTAGGGGCTTAATAAATGCTAGTTGACTGACTTTATACTAATCTCCCCTTCAACTAGCACAATGCCTGGCACATAGAAGGCATTTTTTCCATTCTTGTTTTTCAATTGATTCCTGATCCTCTTTTCTGAAGGCCTAAAGAAGAGTATATCTGTCCTTTTCAGGTAGGAAGATGAACAAGGTAGAAAGCAATTTGTACAAGCTGTCTTCTTCAGCATTTAGTGATTCATGCTTAGGTAAGTTCATTTCTGAAATGCTACCTCCTGGTCCCCTTTCCATGTTGTCTGTGTTTTTAAAATCTTGATCATTTTTTTTCTTTTTCAGTGACACACAATTGACTTTCAGGCATTTGACATTGAAATGTCAAATTCTAACACTTGAATGTCAATTCCTCATCATTTATATTTTTGTGCTCTGGCTTTATTATCTATGGGGTAGGTCTTTGAGTTAGTTAAATGATTTATGTCAGGCAAAAGGTCTTTGATTGAACTGACCCATTCACTCTGATGTTAGTGTATAGGCAAAACTCAGGGGTAGATCTCCTAATACCTCAGTCATCTCTAGACAATCCACTTTATGTCACTCTTGTCCCCCTTCCCCTCTGGGTTGAAGGGTGGTGGTGGACAAAAGTGGTTAGAGGCTTGTACGTATTTCTAATTGAGCATTTTCCTGCTATGGTCAAACCTTAAACATTCCTTCTCCAAGAATTCTTCAAAGATTGTGTTGTGGTATAGCCAGCCAGGTCCAGAGACAGGATTCTGACTACAGGGACAGCCTTTCAAAAAAAAAAAAAAAACTCACTGCAGTTAATCTTTCACCAAGAGAATTCTTCCTGGAAGACTGCCGTGGAGGTCAGATTGCCCCTTTTGATTTCAAATTGTTCTGAGATAAGATAAGGTTTACCCCAACAGTACTGGGGATGGTTTGCCCCAACCCTTCTGGGGAAGAGATACTACCTCTAAAGGAATGATGAGTTAAAAGATACTCTCATTAAGGGAACAATGAGCTCTGATAACAGTGAAGTACCAAAGAGGTACTCTCTTTAGTAAAATGATGGCTTCTGGTAATAGTAAAATACTAAAGGATTCCCTCTTGGAAAAATTGGTGTGAGACTAAGGGAAGAGTAGTACACTGTTGAAGTGACATCTCCTTAGGGAAATTCTTATTGGTCTGGAACTTCCCATTTAGGACTGGATTGGGGTGAGTAAAAGGTAGAGTTCTCAAATTAAGCTAAAACATATACAAATCCAAATGGGTCGCAGCATTGGCCTAAAGAAGGGACTTTTGATTGTGGCAAATTAAAGGCTTTGAGATTAGACTTTCAGTAGGTGATAATGAGGCTGACAAGTATGTGTTTATCCTATTGTTTTGACTGTGTTTTTACTTCTTTGTAAAATGCTCAGAGGGCAGCTAGGTGGTATAATGAATAGAGTACTGGGCCTGGAGTCAGGAAGATTCATCTTCCTGGGTTCAAATCTGAACTCAGACACTTATTAATTGTATGACCCTGGTCAAGTCACTTAACTCTGCCTCAGTTTCCTCATCTGTAAAATGAGCTGGAGAAGGAAATGGCAAACCACCTCCAGTATCCTTGCCAAGAACTGGGATCACAAAGAGTCAGATATGACTAAAACAACTAAACAACAACAGCAAAATGCTCAGAAAACAAAAGTCTTTATTTTGTGTCATGTTTAGTGGTTATTTTTCTTTTTCTTTTTCTTTCTTTTTCCTTTTCTTTTCTTTGTTTTTTGTTTTCGTTTTTGTTTTGTAGATTCTGCTACCTTGAAAGATTTCTAAGGGAAAAATGTAGCCAGCCAGAAAGATTGCAAAAAAGCTGCGGTCAAAGAGTTTAGTTTGTTGAGGAAGATGAATGAAGTGTAATACTTGAAGTAATTCTAAGTGGCTTGCCAAAAATGTGACGGGTGAAGGATGAAATAACTGAGGAAACAAAGGTTTGCGCTCCCAAGCATATAGATTTATTAAGCAATGTGTGCCAATTGCATATCAAATCAGGAGCAGGCTTCCTCAGTTTGTTGCTGCACCCCAACTGTAGGAGGAGACATCTTTATGCATTAAAAGATAACAATAAGCAAAATACGAAACAGGATTATAATTAGGTAATCTGATTTCTAATTGGAGGAAAGAGTAGGGGCTGTCCCAGTTGGGAAGGTGAAAACAAACAGGTGCAATTCCGTGCAATCAGAAAAAGAGGAGTCTCATTCCCCTCAAGTTTCTGTATTCAATAAAAAAATAGAAAAAAAAACTTAGAAATAATAATTGATTGACCAGTACAAGGCCAATTTTCAGATAAGACAAGTAGGTTGCTTGAGATGTATAATTATGAGAAAATTCCTTGAATCACTCTTCAGATCTGAGTGGGTTTTTGGTCAGCATAACCTAGGTCCTTAGTTAAGGGGTATCTAAGCAACAGGTACAGGTGGTCCAGCTTCCCATCCACACAGGGCTAGATTCAAGCAACACAACAAAGTTTTCTCATAATTCCCGTCACCAAATAGTTTTTTCACTAATGGACTGGACCCATAACTGAATAGAAAGGGAAGTGAGCTGGATCCAGAATTGAGTCACAAGATGGAATCAGTTTGGTTCACACAATTCCCTTAGTATCCAATTATCCCCCAAAAGATGCATGAGAAAATGATTTGTGTACAAGATTGCAAGTATGTGGTACTAATCATGTGTTAAGTAACATCCCTGCTATCATTTGAGAATATTTATAACCATTTCTCTTCTCATCCATTCCTTATTCCAACACGATCATAAAATCCCATTGTGTATATCTTTATAAATGTTGTAAACTGTTACTTCATTCTTCTAGATTATACTGCTCTTTGTTTATTTTTCAAGTCTGCACCATCCCAAGTCATACTTTGTCTTGTTAATCAACATAAAATGTGAAATACAAGAATGCCTAGGTTTTCTTTGTTAATCAGGATAATCCTCAGGACTCTGATGATCCCCAAGCTACAAAAATACTTCTCTGAACCCTGCCTTGCCAAAACATGAAATAATCTTTACTTATTTCCATTAAAATTGTTTTCCCTCTTCATTGCACATTGCAGTAGTAGGAAAACCATATTAGATTGCTGCAATAATTTATTTAAGGCTTTTTGAGATAGTGAAATGACTGTAAAGAATACTAGAAATGACTGAGTTATATTGGCTCACTTAACATCATGAATGTGGAAGGTTTTGCTCCTTTCACTTTGAAAAAGAAATTGGGTTAAGTAGGGAAGAGATCACAAAATATTCAGAAAAATAAGAGATAATGCCTCATGAATGTGAGTAAATTAACTGGAAAAGCTTACTTGACCAAACGCTCAGAGCCATAACTAGGGCATATTGACCGGGAATTTGCCACGAGGTGCTGCACTGAGAAAGGGATGAAAATATATGCAGTGCTCCAACAGCATAGAAATAAAAGGCCTTAGAACTTACCTTGAAAGGAGAGAGCTACCAGGTGGTTTCTCCCTAACTGAACTCACATGGCCCTAACCTTCCCTACATAATCAATAGTTTTGTTTTGGCCCGGACATTCACAGCCCACAGAATTCAGTGTCTCAGTACTGGAAAATAATTTTTTCGGTTGATTTGAAGATACTTTAATGCACCTTGCCCCAGACTCAAAATTATTGGTTATAGCTCTGCTCTGGCTCACTTCTTTGATGGAAATCAAATGGGTTTCTCATAGAACCTGTTAGCTCCATGGTTATGGAAAGCAGACCAGCCAGTAATGCAGCTAGGCTGCATTATGCTCAGATGATACTGCTGAATGGATGGGCAGATCAGGTCAAATTTGGATCTACTAGATAGATGGATGGACAGATACAGCATTTATTTTTGCTTACTGTGTACCAGGCACTATGCTAAGCACTAGAGATACAAATAAAAGAATACAAGCCCAACCTTGTTCTCAAGGTACTTCCATCCTAATAGAAGATGAGAGACCATCAGGAGAAGGGGTCTGGAAAGGTGGGTGTCCCCTCAGGAGCAAGTGGAGAGGTAAAGTAGTCCAGATATGAGTTAAGCTTTAGGTGTGTTTAAATTATTCATTGAATGAGAGTCAGAGCGACATAAGCCCCCGAGGAACTGAGAAAGGTATGCTTATATTTTATACAGTCTACTCATTTTCAATCATTATCTTATCCAATTATCATAGCCGCCCAGTGAGACAGGCAGTATAGTATTAACACCCCCATTTTAGAGATGAGAAAACTGATGTCATCTACCAGTGACAAGTCTGGACCTTAAAACCAAGTTTCTTGACAAGGCCAGAGTTCTTTCCAGCATGTTATATTTCATTATGTCTGCTTAGCAATACCGGATATAGAAAAAGACCATCTTTTGTTAGGGGCACAAAGGGAAGACACAAAGTCAAGTCACGTGCCTTGAGTTTGCTCAGTGCCTTGTGTCCATACATTCACACTTTCGCCCTCACCTTTTGCTACCAGTGGTACATACAGGACACTTGGGTCAGAGTTAGAGGCACAATCTGTGACTCATGGATTAAGGAGGACCAGTGGGCACCTATGCCAATCTCATGTCCTACGCGTTCACCAAGATGTTTCTTTGAGACTGAAGAAACCAAGAATGGTCCTGAGAGCCTAGCCAGTGAGCTACAAAGTATAGGAAAAGCAAGCTCATATCCCTAACAGTTAAATAATGTCACTAATCTTTCAGTAGAATAGCAGCAACTTTGTATGATAAACAGCATTTTAAGTAATCAAGCATATATTAAATGCCTTCTATGTGCTTAGTGCCATACTAGATAACTGGGAATACAAAGACAAAAATGAAACAGATACTGCCTCAAGTAATTATACTGTGTTATCCACTGTCTTAAGAGAATTGCTAGAGGGTCAGAGAGGGTTGAATGCTACTTCCAGTTGCATTTCAGAGTAAGGCTTTTTTAATATAAAACAAATTACTTTACTCCATTGACATTCTTAGAATGTCTGGAGGAATCCGGGAAGAACTGAAGTTTTTGCTTTTACCTCAGAGGTCTAATTTACAGGAAGACATAGACAAGAATTACACAAGATGCTCAGTCATAGCTGGGGTGAGATTGACGTCATTGGAAGGAAAGTCCAGTCCAATGTGATAAGATCATAGATATAGCTGAGAACAGATTCCTTCCTTGTTCATTGGTAATGCAAAACAAAGTAAATTATCCCATGTTATGTTATGTTTAGTGCAAAATTACCTCCTGCTGTCTTCA